TGTTCAAAGTTCTCCCGGAGGTGGGAGTTGAAACTCCGTCTCACAGGAGACTCTGCCAGACGTTCCCAGCAAACCCTCACAATACGTTTGGGCCTACCAGGTCTGACCGGCATCCTCCCCCACCATCGGAGCCAACTCACCACCAGGTAGTGATCAGTTGACAGCTCCGCCCCTCTCTTCACCCGAGTGTCCAAGACATGTGGCCGCAGATCAGATGAGACGATGACAAAGTCGATCATCGAACTGCGGCCTAGGGTGTCCTGGTGCCAAGAGCACATATGGACACTCTTATGCCTGAACAAGGTGTTCGTTATTGACAATCCATGACGAGCACAGAAGTCCAACAACAGAACACCACTCTGGTTCAGATCAGGGGGGCCGTTCCTCCCAACCACACCCCTCCAGGTCTCACTGTCATTGCCCACATGAGCATTGAAGTCCCCCAGCAGAACAAGGGAGTCCCCAGAAGGTGCACTTTCCAGTACCCCCTCTAAGGACTCCAGAAAGGGTGGATAATCTGAACTGCCGTTTGGTGCATAAGCACAAACGACAGTCAGAACCCGTCCCCCCACACGTAGGCGGAGAGAGGCCACCCTCTCATTCACCGGGGTGAACCCCAATACACAGGCACCAAGTTGGGGGGCAATTAGTACGCCCACGCCTGCTCGGCGCCTCTCACCAGGGGCAACTCCAGAGTGGAAGAGTGTCCAGCCCCTCTCAAGGAAACTGGTTCCAGAGCCCGAGCCATGCGTAGAGGTGAGTCCGACTATTTCTAGCCGGAACCTCTCAGCCTCACACACCAGCTCAGGCTCCTTCCCCACCAGTGAGGTGACATTCCACGTCCCAATAGCCAGCTTCTGTAGCCGAGGATCAGACCACCAGGGTCCCCGCCCTCGGCCACCACCCATCCCACATTGCACCCGACCCCTTTGGCCCCTCCCACAGGTGGTGAGCCCATGGGAAGGGGGACCCACGTCTCCTCTTCGGGCTGTGCCCGGCCGAGCTCCATGGGTAAAAGCCCGGCCACCAGGCGCTCGCCCACGTGCCCCACCTCCAGGCCTGGCTCCAGAGTGGGGCCCCGGTGACCCACGTCCGGGCAAGGGAACACTAGGTCCATTTGTGTTTTTCATCATAGGGGTGTGTTTGGGCTGCACTTTGTCTGGTCCCTCACCCATAAACATTTTATAAATCATTAATAACTGCTTATCATGCACTAATTAAGGGTGAAAGAGACAAAACTGATCAGTTTCTTGCCAAATAGTGAGCCAAATCTGTTTACCTATATTTCATCTAGAATTGTTATATTAAACATTTCAGACTAAGTTACTACCTCGTAAGCAAAATAAGAATTTGTAAACCTATTTCTTTAGCATACAGTATAATATTGTACTTTATCACTGCATTATACATATCTTCAACTAATATTATATCCTGTTCCCAAAACAGACGTTCCTTTGAACAGACATGAGAAAGAACTGGGTAGTGTCAGAAATGAAGATGTTGAGGTTCTCCTTAGGAGAGACAAGGATGGATAAGATTAGGAATGAGATCATCAGAGGTACAGCACAGGTTGAACAACTGGGAGATAAAGTTAGAGAGGACACACTGAGATGGTTTGGACATGTCCAGAGGAGGGACAGCGGGTGTACTGGTAGAATGATGTTAGAAATGCAGCTGCCAGGAAAAAGACAAAGAGGATGCAGTTAGAGAGGACATGGAGGTAGTTGGAGTGAGGACAGAATGAGATGGAGGAGGATGACTTGCTGTGGAGACTCCTAAAGAGGGAAATGCCAAAAGAAGAAAAAGAAGCAAAAGTGATCTATCTAAGCCAGCATTTCACCCCCAGTATCCCTACTAATCTCCATCTCAGGAGTACAGGAGCCTGTTGGACTTTGTGGGATGATGTGGTGCAAACAACTGCAGCTGAATCCCTACAAGATCAAAAAGATGGTAGTGGACTTTTGAAGGAACCAGTAGGGGTGCACCGATTGCAGTTTTCTGGCCGATCACCAATCACGATTTCTAAAAAGTCTGACCTGCCGATTCCGATTTTGTTTTATAAGCGACACTGTCAGGTGTTATAAGGTCACAACGCACCTTCAATTTTCCAGTATTATTTTGTTGAAAAACATACCCTTGAACAATATCCTAGAACAATACAAACTTGTTTTAAATTACCATTAGGTAGTGCTCTGAAATGTAAATGAAGTTCAGACCGTTGTTGTTAAAAAAAACAAACAACAAAAATCGGAAAAATCGGTTTCTCATGCAAGTATCGGACGATTTCCCAAAATTAAGGAAATTGGGACCGATTTATCAGCCAACCGATTTATCAGTGCACCCCTAGGAACCAGTGTCCATAAGTTGGGCTGATGTCTAGACCTATAAATTCCTAGGACTGCAGTTGGACAACAGTCTGTTACAATGCAGGCAGCTGTGTAAGTACAATAAGTACAGCTGCTGCAGTTCTCTCACCAACAGAGGCACGGATAGTGGTGATGTCATAGGTCTCCAAGTGGAAAATCACTTCCTTCACAGCCTGAAAGCCTTCCTCTGGGCTAAAGTTCACCTCATGGTGTTCACTGCCGATGTGAGCTGCCATCTGAACAAAGTCATGAAGAATACATCAAACGGGGATTTTACAATAAAACTGAACTATTTTCTTTACAAAAAGAAAAATATTCCAATCTTGGTTCAGAACTGACCTTACGAGCTGCTAGGATGTCTGGACTGTCCTCTGACCCGATGGAAAATGTCTGAATGGGATAGGGCAACTTCTCCTCTTTAGCTAGTTTGACCAACATGGCAGCAACCAAACTAGAGTCCAGACCACCTAAAAATTAGACAACATGAATGAGCATCACTGACACAAAACACTTTCAGTCTTCTGCATTTATTTCATAGCAATCAGGAACTTTGATAAAAAGAATTAAAGCTGTTGAACTAACCAAGAAGTCAACTGTTCTGTCAAATGTTCTACAGAAGCATGTTAGTGCAGATCAAAGGTTACACAATAAAAATAAATCTACATTTGATTTATTCACTGATTCTCTTTAAATTACAAACACAGCTGAAGTCGGTCTGAATCATTTCAGCAGATGTGTTGAAGTGAAAGTGTGATGTGTTGTGATCTTTGCATGTTCCTCTGCAGTGGATCCATCTCACCCAAGAGGGGAGCAGGTAGGGATCAGGTGTCCTGCTCAAGGACAATGCATCACATGCAAATGAAGGGATTTGAGCCTTCAACTTTCAGGTCCCAAGACAGCTGCCCTACCACTGCACCACTGCCGCCCCAACCTAAGCCTTGGTGTTAAGAAAGAGTAATATCGAAGAAGGTCAGCCATTACCAGACAGAAGACAACCGATTCTCCTGTGAGCCATCAGGCGTTTCCTCACAGCGTTTTCAAACAGGGTTCTGATGTTTCCTTTCACTGTTTCTACATCGAAACCTGTAGAGAAATGTTAGCTTAGATGCCACACAATGAGCTGACAGAGGAGGTATTAAGCCTGTCTTACCTGAAGGCAGCTTTTCCACAGTATCATAGATGGCATGAGCAGGCTCTTGTGTGCAGCAGTGAAACTGTTCAAACTGAACAGACTGGACCTTACCAGTAGGCTTCAAATCAAAAACCTCAATGTGCCCAGGGAGAAAGGGCACAATGCTGGCAGACGTGTTCATTGAATGGGTAATATCTATAAGGCCTGTGAGCAGAACAACAGGTTAAATAACACTCATCACATGAACTGATAAAAGGAGATCCAAACAATCTGTTACCTTTGGCTTCTGAGCAGACTGCAAGAAATCCATCATCAGTGAGGAACCGAAACAACGGCCGGACACCATACGTGTCTCGTCCCAGATGCACTTTTCTGTTGGCAGTGTCGAGCAAAACAAACGCAAATACACCATCCAGGAGAGAAGCCATCTTCTTGATGCCAAAGCGGTCATACAAATGGAGCAAAACCTCCCCGTCCATTTTAGTCTGATAATCAAAACCAAACTGCTCCTTCAGCTGAAAGAACAAAGACCGAGTTCAGGGATTCATCACAAACCTGTCTACCTGGCACTGCTAGCTTCAGGTGAACATAGATCCCTCTTTACACGTTTATGTAAACTGTCTTACTAAGAAAATCAGTTCTTAGATAAAACATTTACATTATTTTCTAATGCAAACCAAAACCAAGAACAAAAACAAGGTGAGACAGTTCTTGAAGCTAGCTGTAAGGTACCTATACTCAAACCAGACTTTGCAAACCCTGATTGTCCTGATTGAAAATGTGTCTCAGTGGATGGAGCAGTGCCAGAGGGCATCTCAGAAGGTTAGGAAGGCTCTTTATGGTGAACCATTACTTAATATTCCTAACCCTAACACACTTGACTGAAATGAACAAGTCATTGACCTGTTTCTATTACACTTGATAACAGTCAGAGAAGGTAATTCAGTGATTTGAGTCAGGTGCGTTGAAGCAAGGAAACATCTAAAACATGCAGGACAGGTTGGGGAGTTCTGGAATAATCCATACATCATCACTTCACCTTGTTTATTTAGCTATAATTCTGTGTAGAATTTAAAATGTAAATGGTAAAATATAAATACTTAAAACTCTCACAGAATAAAACATCTTGTGCTTTTTGGAAAAAAGATTAAAGGAAACACTTTTACTACAAGCTTGGTCAAACAAATTAAAGTATTTTAGTGTGAATATTGTTTAAAGAACTAAAGCAGCAGACACACCAAGAGAGACACTCAAACAAGCTGTGCACGTTCCCACGATGGATAATTTATTTTTGGCAGACCATCAGTTTTCGGCACAACACGGGCATAAATAAGCTGCAGCCATGCCTAAAGCCCTCGTCTTCTTGTTGCTTTGGCTGGATTTGACTTTTACCCATTTAGACTCTGCTCTTGGTTTTCATATTTCTCTCCAACGAACAATCTTCTAACAACTGCTCACTGACAGGCCAGAAACCATTCCTAAATGGATCTGCAGTTTACACCAATGATGAATGAGTCTGGCTGAGAGATCTCCAAATCTGCTTATTTTATTTTTCTTGTAAGAAACAAAATATTTAATGTTATTTGAGGCTTTAAATTTTACAAAACCCATTAGATGACTTAATGTTTTTAATGTCCCACAGAAACCCCGTAATGGACACGCAGAGCACCACTAAAGAAGTTAGTATTAGCGTTCCCTACATTTGGGTCAACCATCCTCAGAAACCTAAAACTCTGTAGGTGGTCCTCGATGCCAGTGCCAGCCCGTGGGTGGTCAGTGTTGTTACAGAAAACTAATCAGTTAGTACAGGCATACTACACAAAGTATGAACAAATACAAGTGAAAATTTCACAAAGTGTAAAAACCTTGTCTTACTGTGTAGTGGTTGTAAATCTCTCCATTGTAGCAGAGCCATAAGTAAGGAAACTTCTGGACACGCAGAGGCTGCATCCCATACAGCTGATCCACAATGGCCAGTCGGTGGAAACCAAAGCAGCAATTGGTGAAGCCGTTAACATTTTCAAATCGAAAAGCATCTGGGCCTCGATGAGCTATCTTCATGGCACTAGTGCATTGAACTGACAGGCACTCATCGCTGCCAAACAAAGCCCAGATCCCGCACATTTTACACCTAAAACACAGAGGCAGGTGATGTTAACTAAAGGCCAATCAATATGGAAATTTTGGCTATCGCCGATACTGATATTAAAAGGAGACGGCTAATGCCAATAACTGATATGACTGAAAAATGTTGACCTTTGTCCACCCCCAATAATCTCAGTAAACAGCTACTTTTAACCTGTTTTAACACTTGAAGTCTTGAAACAGTCTTCCTAACATGCATTCACATTTTCTATCCTCCACTATTCACCATAAAGTTATCAAGTTACAACAATAGTTTAAATTTTGATTAATTATAATAATTTGAATATTGTGGCCCGTGACGTGTTCATAAAATGGACTGTTGTATTCGTGTAACAATGAATATCATGTTGGCATGAAAAAATTGCAGATTCTGCTGTGAAAGAAAAAGTGCAGATTTTGCTGTGAAACGCAGCTGAGCTGGATGCTTGGATAAAACACTGCATGTTTACGCTGTGATGCTTTGAAGCTGATATTGTGAGTCATTGAGTCTTTATGAAAGCTGAAATTGTACATCTGTTGTGTGTAACTAAGCTGATGAGCTGTGGAAAACGTTTATTCTGTTTAAAAGGACGGAGGTTCTATTGCCGACCCGGTTTTGGTCCGGTTTCGGTTCTGATAAGTTCGAACGAGTATTTTAAATAGATGGAGAAACGTTTTAAGGACTGGGCAAAGTCTCAGTGAAGCTGTGAGAGCTGATTCGTTAAATTTTTAACAGGAAATGGTGCATTTTGACAGTTTAAAAGACGAAAAGTTGACGGACTTGTTCAGGCTAAATGCTACATGCTAGCTGGAAAAACGTTCTGTGATTGGTTGAAAACGACCGTGTGTAACGTTTTGATTGACTGAGAGACGTGTCAGGTCGTAAAGCCCACCCCCGTGCTGCTCTGTCATTGGTGGATTCAGTCACGTGACCCGGAAATGAAAACTCGTTTTCTTAGGGAATTTTAATCTGTTTTTAAAGTTGAAAAACGCTTTAAAGTTGATTCTGATACGCTGCTCCGTGTCTTTGAAGCTCTAATCGCTGAAATTTTGCCACGTTAGAGTTTAAAATCCGTCATTAAATGATGTTTTTGAACAACGCTAGCGATGCTAATTTTAAGCTAACAGCTAACGACCGGATGAGTGACGTGTCACGTCACTTCCTCCATGTCAGATGGTAAAGCTTGGTTGCACCGAACCCTTCGCTGTTCTTAAAATCACTAGTTAAAACTTGCCACATGTCCCCAAAAAACTCATGTTCATGTAAAAAGTCGTGCTTGTTGAAACAACGCCACGTTTTAGCTTGAAAACCGTTCAGAAATGTTGATTTTAACCGAGTTTAGCCGAAGCTAACTTTAAGCTAAGCGGCTAACAACAGGATGTCAAAAGAACATGACAGGACGTCGTCATAGACTCCTGCTGGTAGAAAGCTAAACACTGTCCCCTCCTGTGGAAACTTGATATCACAGTTTCACTTCATCTTTAGGTTTTTGAGTGAAATTAAACGTATTTATTTCTGTAAGACGAACTTTGAGTTAACAAACGTTCCTCGAGCTGATTTATACTGTTATGTTATCTTATCATTAAAAGTCAGTAAAGTATTTATGCCCAGAGAGGCGTTTACTAGGACATTGTTCATTCACTGATAAATCCTCAAGCAGGTGCAAAATGAAAAAATGAGAACTTTTTGGTAGACACAGTCACAGATAATCACAGAGCTGATCAGTTTACTCATTTGCTGGAAAGATAATACGCGTTTAATTGCTAAATCACTAAATAAGAGTAAACTTATCAGGAAAAAGAAACTTTTCTGTTTAAGTTACCACCTAAAAAACTACATCTTCCTATTTAATTTTAAATAGAAGATATTTGGCAGGAGGACAGGAGTATAACAGTTTTTCTGAAGAAAAACTGATTAATCCTGACACATCATCAATTTTTCTTTTTCTGTTCACCACCTGGTTCTATGAGTAGCTGTTAAATAGCGAGTTTCTGGAAGTAAACGGTTTAAAAAGAGTTTTTAAACTGATGATTGCTGTGAGACTTTTTAGAAAAATTGCAGGTTTATAAAAATTCAGTGCTTTAGAGTAAGAAACACTGAGGAGCTTGGTAATCTAGTATCTGTTAAGAAATAAGCACATAAAAAGTAACACTGCATAGAAGCATTTACTTAAATATTCATGAATTGGGGTAAAGCCTACGAGACAGGTGCCTATTCCTCTGAATAAGTTGACTTATAACAGTACTTTTGTGTAAACCCAGAGCTAAAATAGTGTGAAACTCAATGACATTTGAATACATATATTTACCTGTAAAATATCTGAAGCTGGCAACTGTTTCACCAGATAAAGTGCTACACAGTGAATGACCATGACAGGTGTGATTAAAAAAGATTTAGATCCTTATGAGATGAAGGGCTGTTTAGAGAATGCGTTAGCACTGCTGACAGCATCCTTACATCCATATGGCAAACAGGCGGACAGCATGAACCCAAAAGAGTTATTGGACAATCTGATGGAGGTTGCAGAGAGTGTGACCTCTACAGAAATTACAATGTCAAGCTATGAAAAGCTGGCTAAAATGGCAATGTTGCTGAAAGAATCTTACTTTGCATTAAGACGGGATCACGTCGTGACAGTGTCACAAGTTTCCCGCTGCGAAACTGAGATAGATGTGCTTAAAAAAGATCTGCACAAACGCGAAGTGCATAAAGAGATACTACTGGAAGAAGTTATGCGTTTACAAAGTGAATGTCAAACATCACAGGAACGCTTAAAAGCATGTGAGCAGAAACTAAGAGCGGCAACAAATAAAAGTTCTGACGTGGGGCGAGTTTGTCTGGAACTCAGAGAAGACCGTGGACAGAGTCCAGGTCACCCACAAACACCTCAGAAAGATGTTGTTGCACCTCCACATTTGTGGAGAGAAAAACCTCCAAAAATCTATTACACACCTCTTGCTTTTAAGCTCATTAAAAAAGCTCCTCCACCAAACATGCAACAGTGTGCTGTGAATGTGTTCGAGGCATGTTCTCATGCTAAGACGCCCATAGAGGTGTTTCCTGGTGTAAAGGTTAAACCCCACTCCCTAGAAATGGAAGGAAGGCGCGCGTCGCCACCTCCTCCTAAAACAGGTGAGAAAAGGCAGTATTTTCAAACTAACAAACAACGTAATGAAGGTGCACGCTGGGACAAAAAGGCTCCTCTTTCAGAGGATGAACGTGATTATCGTAAATGGGGCATGCGTAGGACGCAAAGATATGGGATCCAAGAGGACCCATATTATCAGGGGAAATCCGAAGAGGAACCCCCAAAAGACGTACCTAACCCTCCCCCACCTCGGACGAAACGAACCAAGGCGATAAAACCACAAAGGTCCCAGGAACAAGGCCCTACACCTCTGAGCTCGGAAGAGACAGAGGAAATACAAAGGTTTTTAGATACTTTGAAAAACGCTGAAATGGAAAACCAACCTGGAACGCTGTGTAGTGATGTGATCGCTACTAAATCTGAAGGCGCGAATGACAACATTACAGATGTCGGTGAAACACACCAAGACATTGCTGT